ATATATCATACCAATATGCACAATACCTTCGTATATATCATACCAATAGCTAAAAGGGGCCAAAATGAAATTTGTCCCTTTTTGCATATTATTGCATTAATAACATCTACCTGTAGAAAGAATATTGTATGTTTTCACTGATGCGTTTTTTGAAATATAGCTACTTAAAAGTCTATAAAAGGGCCAAAGTCAAGTTCCAAAAGGGCCAAAGTCACTTTGCTAGATTTTGGCCCTTTCAGCTCTTATTTCTGTGTGTTGTTGAGTTGGTATTGGTTTAAATCATTTAAAAGTACTTCAATAGTATGTGTTTGTACTTTCAGTAGTAGTTTATCAATCTCACATGTTAAATTCCATGCAAATGCCTGAGGGTAAAATAGGGCCAGAATACAGACATTTGCCCTTTCCCTTTCTTGAATGTTTTTTTACAGCAACATATATATCCCTACTGTCAGAATGCGTTAATGTCTAGGAATGTATCAGTAAAAAGAAAGTTCATTAACATGCATATAGTTATGGTTTTCATCACTTTTCTCAAAACAGACTCCACATGACATTGGCCCTTATGTCTCTACGCTCTTCATTTTAACTTCGTATATAACATACCAATATGCATTTTACCTTCACATAGAACATACCAATATGCATTTTACATTCGTATATAAAACACTGATATGCAATTTACCTTCGTATATAACATAGCAATATATATTTATCTTCGTAAATATCATACCAATATGCATCTTAATTCACATATAACATACCAATATGCATTTCACCTTCGAATATAACATACAAATATGCATTTTACCTTCGAATATAACATACCAATATGCATTTTACCTTCGTATATAACATACCAATATGCATTCTACCTTCGTATATAACATACTAATACGCATTTGACCTTCGTATATATCATACCAATATGCATTTCACCTTCGTAGATAACATACCAATATGCATTTTACCTTCGTATATAACATACCAATATGCACCATACCTTCGTATATATCATACCAATATGCATCTTGACTTTGTATGTTACATACTAATATGCATTTCACCTTCGAATATAACATACCAATATGCATCTTAATTCACATATAACATACCAATATGCATGTTACCTTCGAATATAACATACCAATATGCATTTTACCTTCGTACATAACATACCAATATGCATGTTACCTTTTTATATAACATACCAATATGCACCATACCTTCGTATATATCATACCAATATGCACCATACCTTCGTATATAACATACCAATATGCATTTTACCTTCGAATAGAGCATACCAATATCCATTTTACCTTCGAATATAGCATACCAATATCCATTTTACCTTCGAATATAACATACCAATATGCATTTCACCTTCGAATATAACATACCAATATGCATCTTAATTCACATGTAACATACCAATATGCATTGTATCTTCGTATATAACATACCCATATGCACCATACCTCGTATATAACAGGGGGCACGGGTGGCCCACTCGACTAAGGCGCCGCGATTCGCTGTGCAGAGTTGCGTCCCTTTGGAACGCCAGAAACCTATGAATGTGGGTTCGAATCCTGGTTCGCCCCGATTATGTTTCTAGGTTTGTCAGCACCATACTCGTGCTCGTGGGTTTCACCGAAGTGGTAAACGTTTGAGACCTGCATCACTTCTTGCTTTCCTCCCACATTAAGCTGACACGCCGAGATATGACTGGAATACTGGTAAAAGCGGCGTTAAATCCAACTCACTCACTCACTCACTCGTATATAACATACCAATGTGCATCTTAATTCACATGTAACATACCAATATGCATTTTACCGTCGTATATAACATACCAATATGCATTTTACCTTCGAATGTATCATACTAATATGCATTTTACCTTCGTATAGAACATACCAATATGCATCTTAATTCACATGTAACATACCAATATGCATTTTACCTTCGTATATAACATACCAATATGCATTTTACCTTCGAATATATCATACCAATATGCATTTTACCTTTGTATATAACATACCAATATGCATTTTACCTTCGAATATATCATACCAATGTGCATTTTACCTTCATATATAACATACCAATATGCATTTTACCTTCGAATGTATCATACTAATATGCATTTTACCTTCGTATAGAACATACCAATATGCATCTTAATTCACATGTAACATACCAATATGCATTTTACCTTCGTATATAACATACCAATATGCATTTTACCTTCGTATATATCATACCAATATGCATTTTACTTTCGTATATAACATACCAATATGCATTTTACCTTTGTTACCTCATCATACCTTCATACTTGACATATGTTATATAATATATCTGCAAGCACTGACATGTAAACCAGCTACACCGTATATATTGCTCCTATATCACAGCTAGGTATATAACGGGCAGAAATATGGCAAATACACAGTTTTTTCCAACATTCATGAAATACCTACTGTGGCTTGATACTATCGGGTCTTGTTTATGTCTTCCAGTGACTTTTATCATCTATATCGTTCAAGATAAGGGAGTGGATAAAAGAAACATACGAAGTACGTAGGTAATAACTATTGCACCTTCTCTCAGAGGTTTGATTCACCCAGACGCCATTATTGACGCTATTATGGCAAATCTTGGCGTTTCATGTAATAGATTCTTTCATTATAGACTGAATCTGATCCTAGAGCGTATTAAATAAAGAAAGTGTCACATTCACGTGTTAATCGTGCCGGTTTCGCAAAACAACTGTCAGAATTCAGTACATCGTTGTGACGCAGGTCCGTGAAACGCGCATGTGTAAAACAATCTTCCCCCTGAACTGTCAGAGAACAGTGGAAACAGGAGTACAGTGTCAGACCAACACTCCACAAGCCCCGTTCCGCAAGAACTCATTCATGAATGTAAAACTGATTAAGAAAATGCATGTGACGTTATCACAAATACATGGAAACACACTGGACGCATTTATAATGTGGACTGACAAAGAACACAGGACACAAGAAGCGTTAACACTTTGAAATTCCAGACAACAATATTGAATGTTTAGATCATTGTGTGATTTTACATTGTTTGTGTGTTGTTGCCATCTACCCAGCAGATATACTCAGTGTATGTTGACATACAGACGAAAGGATTTACAATGTAAAGTCCCAGGTGTTCTATACAGACCTGTGTCTGTGAGCCGGACACAGACGCTTCGAATTGTGACAGATACTTCAGTGTGTCGGGATCAATGGAAGTGTCTGATAGGCTGACCCCAGCACACCTATATAATATGTCCTGTTTGGGAAAGTGTTCGTATCGCTTATCAAGGGTGAGTGAGTGAGTTAGGTTTAACGCCGCTTTGATTTGTGTTCAGTTGTATCACGTCGAGTCTGTAAAATGTTGGAGGAAAGCCCGAAGTAATGCAGGTCGTGCTGAAACCCATGAGCACGGGTATGGTGCTGACAAACCTAGAAACATAATCGAACATAAGACGAATCTGGGATTCAAATGACCATTGTTCTGTGGATCTTGTGACCTGACAGATACTAGTAACCCCGTATGACTATGTCCTTACTGGCGCCTACCATTGTAAAGAAAGGGGTAGCGGGTGGTCCGTGGTACGATGGATATGTGCATGTCCTGTCTCGGCTTACATAGAATTCTAGTGGCGAGTTCACTAGCACATGATAGTACGTGCTGGTGTGAGGTACCCAATGACTGTGACGGTGACGGCAAATTTGCATAGATAACAGTAATTGAGAATAGTTAAACGACTTTTAGAGAAATCTGGTATCGACTTGTCACGCCGACCTCTAACAGTCTTATCAGCCACACCTGTGTCTATGGGAGTGCAGTAAATTTCATCGTCATGCCCTGCACGTGGACAACATGCGTACACCCTAAATACCTGTAGCAAATCAAATATGTTTGCCCAAATTCTGTGCACCGCCTATTTGTCTCAAACGCGTTTTTGTGAGTTGGTTCCACTTATCCTGGATGAACACTAGTGACACCATGTTTCACAATAGAAAACTGTTATGTGATTGAACTCAAAACAAACCAATTGGCCCATGATATTTATCATGTCAGAAGTGATATTTAAAAATCCGGACAAAGGATAGAGCTGACTTGAGCCATATTTTGTGATATGGTGAAAACAGGCCAGGTGAGCTACTGACCCTTTTTTGGATAAAACACTGGGAAAGCACACATTTCATAATTCCCTGTATTCATAGATTATTGGTGCTAGGTATCGAAAAACAGGGAAACATGTGTAAAATGTTTATAATATCGAGACCCTTAAGTTGTAGTTGTTACCAAGACAACCTTACCGATACCATCACTTGGTATTTTGCCTAAAACTGCAGCCGCATCATGATACACATTTGCAGATGAAGAAAATGAAACATTTATCAAAATAAAATGTATTTTTTTCTTTCTAATTGTATGTAATCGCCACAGCGCTTTCAAATATTTGTTTTAAAATAGTTTAACCGAAAGCGTACGAAAGCATGTTGACGACATGTATAAAATTATACCTTCACAGACGAATTTCTTTAATAAATAACCAAATTTCAATTCGTTTTCATAAACGAAATTGTACTGAACCAAAAACATTCACCTTGTTATGCTGTTTATCAGAACCTTGCATCAACATTGTTATGGCTATATCACGGCGACCTGTAAATTATCTAGGTCAGGCTAACCAGCGGTTGATAACCAGAGCAACCCCCCACGCTGGCGTGGTACGGCGCCCACAGCAGGCAGGTCACATACAGATCTCCATTAGTCGGTACTGGCGCTAAGCATGGCGTACGTGGCATCTATTCGGCCACTTCTTAGAAGTTATCTTTAAGAATAGTATTAAAGCATTCGATGTGATGTCCATTTTGGTGTGATTTTTTCTTGATTTATTTTGTTCGAATCCTGATCCTCTAGATCTACAAATTGAAAACGTCCTGATCTGACATGCTGTGTTGTTTCAGAGCTGGAGTGTTTATCCCACCTGTGTCCGACTGGTTTTATACGCTACAAGAAGTATTGCTTCCGGTTCGTCATGCACAGCAGGAAGACGTGGAGGGATGCGCAGAAGTACTGTCAGGACGCTGGCGCAAACCTCATCTTCCTCAACTCCACCAAGAAACACGACTTCGTCGCTAAACATCTCAAGGACAACTTTGGTGAGTTGATAGTTCCTGGACGCTGAAGGGACAGACTTTTACAATCTTAACGTTTGTATATATCACGGTTCTTCCTGAAGGCTCAGGAAAATGGTCAGTCCCAGCAAGTTTGATCAAGTTTTTCAAGATAGTGAGATAGTGAGAGAGAATGAGACAAGGAGATAGTGAGATAGTGAGGGAGAATGAGATAAGAGGATAGTGAGATAGCGAGGGAGAATGAGATAAGGAGATAGTGAGATAGCGAGGGAGAATGAGACAAGGAGATAGTGAGATAGCGAGGGAGAATGAGACAAGGAGATAGTGAGATAGTGAAGGAGAATGAGATAAGGAGATAGTGAGATAACGAGGGAGAATGAGATAAGGAGATAGTGAGATAACGAGGGAGAATGAGATAAGGAGATAGTGAGATAGCGAGGGAGAATGAGATAAGGAGATAGTGAGAAAGCGAGGGAGAATGAGATAAGGAGATAGTGAGATAGCGAGGGAGAATGAGATAAGGAGATAGTGAGATAGCGAGAGAGAATGAGACAAGGAGATAGCGAGATAGTGAGGGAGAATGAGATAAGAGGATAGTGAGATAGCGAGGGAGAATGAGCTAAGGAGACACTGAGATAGCGAGGGAGAATGAGATAAGGAGATAGTGAGATAGCGATGGAGAATGAGATAAGGAGATAGTGAGAAAGCGAGGGAGAATGAGGTGAGGTGAGGTGAGGTGAAATTGGGTTTAACGTCGCGTCCAAGATTATTGCACTTATATAGCGACGTGCATGCACGTGTATGTGTGTGTGTGGCTGCTTGTACTAGTCCGGACTGATGCCGATTTATAGTGCTAGCTCACTGAGATACTGAGATATAAGGAGATAGTGAGATAGTGAGGGAGAATGAGATAAGGAGATAGTGAGATAGCGAGGGAGAATGAGATAAGGAGATAAGGAGATAGCGAGGGAGAATGAGATAAGGAGATAGTGAGATAGCGAGAGAGAATGAGATAAGGAGATAGTGAGATAGCGAGGGAGAATGAGACAAGGAGATAGTGAGATAGTGAGGGAGAATGAGATAAGGAGATAGTGAGATAGCGAGGGAGAATGAGATAAGGAGATAGTGAGATAGCGAGAGAGAATGAGACAAGGAGATAGTGAGATAGTGAGGGAGAATGAGATAAGGAGATAGTGAGATAGCGAGGGAGAATGAGACAAGGAGATAGTGAGATAGCGAGGGAGAATGAGACAAGGAGATAGTGAGATAGCGAGGTCCCAATGAGATAAGGAGATAGCGAAGGAGAATGAGATAAGGAGATAGTGAGATAGCGAGGGAAAATGAGATAAAGTGTGAGTGAGTTTGGTTTAACGCCGCTTTTAACAGTATTCCAGTTGTTTCACGGCGTGTCAGCTTAATGTGGGAGGAAAGCCCGAAGTGATGCAGGTCTTAGACGTTTACCACGAGGGAGAATGTAGACAAGGAGATAGTGAGATAGCGAAGGAGAACGAGATAAGGAGATACTGAGAAAGCGAGGGAAAACGAGATAAGGAGATAGTGGGGGAAAATTAGATAAGGAGAAAGTGAGGGAGACTGAGATAAGGACATAGTGAGATAGTGAGGGAGAATGAGATAAGGAGATAGTGGGGGAGAATGACATATGGAGATAGTGAGATAGCGAGGGAGAATGAGTATGCCAGGGCACATATTGTTCGTGTGCGAAGGCTGCCTGTACTGTCATGGATGAACGCCTATTTCTGGTGTTCCCCGCCGTGATATTGCTGGAATGTTGCTAAAAGCGGCGTAAAACCATACTCACTGAATGAAGGGACCCTCTATACAGTCGTTTCCTTGGTCGTTTCAACAGAGAAACGGCGATACATATCAATCATATGTCCTCTGGTTGGAATAGGCCGATCTATACACAGTAAAAAAAGTGTTGCACCCCCACATTAATACGTTTGATACATCACAACATTTAAAACGCCCGACTCTGGTTTTAATGGTAGGTATTCCTTCGGGATCTGATGTTAAATGTGTAATGTTTTCGGAGGGAAGATGATCACCAAAACGTAGCAATCAGCACGTGAATTGCATGGTGCATGACATTTGCAGATTGCAGTATCTTCTTAAGCTCAACATCGCCTATAAAAGATGTTCTCTGACAGCCCAGTTTATTGTAGCCCACAATGCCGGGTAGACGATTGTCAGAAGCAGTCAAGTGGCAGATTATTGGCCTTCATGGAGCAGGTCTTTCGTTCAAGGAGATTGGCAGAAGAACCGGACATCACTACTCAACAATAAGCCGTTTGGTCAGAAAACACGCACAAACTAATGATGTAAGGAATCGCAGACCCTCTGGCAGACCACGTAAGACCATAGTTAGAGATGACAGAGCGTTGTTGAGGGTGGTAAGGCGTCATCCATTTGCTACAAGCACAACCTTGAAACGTCTTTGGCTTCCTCGTCAACAGTTCAGTACCCAGACCGTGAGAAATCGTCTTAAAGCTGCAGGGTTGAAGTCCAGAAGGGTTATCAAGCGACCTAAACTCACAGACAACCACAAACGACTACGTCTAGCCTGGTGTAGACTGAGACAGAACTGGAACTTGAGGTCCTGGAGAAGAGTCCACTGGTCGGACGAAAGCAGGTTCCTTCTGCATGTTGTGGATGGCAGAGTGAGAGTATGGAGGCGTCCTGGAACAGCTTATACTGCAAGAAACATCATGCCAACTGTACCATATGGAGGTGGATCTGTTATGGTCTGGGGATGCTTCTCATTTGATTGTAAGCTTGATTTAGTGACCATACGAGGCAACTTGACAGGGGAGCGCTACATCCAAGAGGTGCTGAATCCAGTTGTGGTGCCCCATTTTGACAATCATCCACTGGCCACCAGACCGATATTCATGGATGACAATGCCAGACCACATCGTTCACGAGCTGTGACCCAGGTTATCCACAACAATGCTCTGACGCAGATTCCATGGCCAGCAATGAGTCCAGATCTGAATCCTCTGGAACATGTATGGGACATTTTGGGACGCCTGATTTATCGTCGGGACCCTCCTCCACAGAACTTGCGTGAATTGGAAGCAGCATTACACGAGGAGTGGCAGCAGCTGCCCATGGAGCGATTCCAACGTCTGGTGAGGAGTATGAGACGAAGACTTCAAGCTGTGATCCAAGTGCTTGGTGGAAGTTCTCGATATTGACTTACTGTGTTCGTCAAATCTCCATATGACATTCTTACCCTATTGGATGAATTTGGTCACTAAAGATTATTGAGATGTCACCATACTCAATGCGTCTTCGTTGTTCGTTCATTTTTCGTAAAAGTTCAGCATGAGATTATTACATGCCATAAGGTCATGGAATACCCCATTTAAGTTCATTGTATAGACAATTCACTGGTTTGTTGGTATACACGAAATCCTGGTTATAATATTAATTCGGTTATCTTTACACCCTTTCAAAACACCCCTCCATGAAAAAGTATAGGGGGTGCAACACTTTTTTTACTGTGTATATATTGAATATATGTTGTGGGCATTTCTATGTGGCCCTGGCTAGCGCGTCCGCGTCAATATATACTTATAAATATGCATGCGTATATCTATTTCATTAAGACATGTTTACGTCTAAAGGTAACCGTTTGAAGGTCGGTGTGAATGTTTATCTATTCGCGAAGATTTACATAGTATGGACGGCAGGGGCTCCTTGAACAAAACAATGTCAAGAAGACGAGATCGGACTTTTAAGCGGTGCCTAGAAAGTACAAGAATGTACTGAAGCATGGTCTACACAGGAAGGTCCCGGAAGCTGAAGACATAGGGTTTGACGATGTTAACTGTTTCTGTATAGCAGAGTTATTCCTGGAGGCTCGGGCAAATTGTCAGTACTATTAAGTGTGATCAGACAGTTCAAATTCGAATCTGTTTGTCAAATGGTTTTATGTATTGGAAAGATAACAGCAACGTTTATCTTATATCTCAATTTCAATGAAGGAATCCGTTTCATTGCCTGCAGTAACCTGAAGATGCATTCGTGACCAACTCGTGTCGTTCCGGGACAAGCCGAATGGCGACTCGTACCCCTCTCATGGACATTTTTGTGACAGGGTTCCGTCTTAGCGCAAATGGGCATACCTAAAACAATTGTCAACTCGTTGCGTAATGGTTCACATATGCGTCCCCATACATTATATATATTTCAGATGCAATTTAAAGCACATCGGGACATGCGGAATTACACAGTATGATTGAACACATTTAACTGTGTCTTTGTTATATTTTTAGATGCAAGACATGTGTAAAATCAAAAGTTATTTCTGAGGGATTCTTTGACGGAGAACTTGAAACCATACGCGCATTCCGATTGCTTTGTCGTATTTTCGCACATGACATTCATCGATAAGGGGAAGAGTCATCTTCCAGGCTACGGAAAGGGGCGAGTGATGACGAATGCTGAAGATGGACAACAAGCCGGGAAATATAGTCCCCCGTTACAATGGAAAAGCAATTTCCGAACTATGATATACAGTCCACGGAACAGTGAAAAGATATCTAGAGTCAGCAAAAGGACATTTCCAAACATATATCGCTAAAAGAAGATTCCTCTTTTGTAGTCGCATTGCACAGCGGGGACCAGTTTATATGAGAAGGCTTGTAAATGCAGGTGTCGCAATGAACGGCACGCACCACTGAATGAGGATGGTGACCCGTGATATGCTAATCGAGATAGAAAAGGGCGTAAGGAGGATAAACACATAGAAACTAACATATAAACGTAAGACCTGTCAAGTCCAGTGAAAACCTGATCATACACTTGATTGGTTCTGTTGTTATATACAGAACACATGTGCGAATAATTGGAGTGAGTGAGTTGGGTTTAACACCGCTTCTGACAATATTCCACATATATCACGGTGTGTCAGCTTAATGTGATAGGAAAGCCCGAAGTGATGCAGGCCTAAGAAGTTTACCACTTTCGTGAAACCCACGACCACGGGCATGGTGCTGACG